CCTAAAAATTTAAGTATTTGATTCAACCAATTCCAGCTATTAAATCAAAATAGGATAAACATTTTAATTCAAAAAATTTGTTTATTTTAAATCTATATTTTAACTGTCAAATGAACAAATAAACTTTGACAAACTCTGACTATTGCTTTGACACCAAAATATAGATTGATCCAATAGGTTTTTTGATGAAACAACCTTTTCAAAAATGACATTTAGGCAAACGTTAACTCAACTACATTATTTTTTTCGGTGTAGCGCGACCCTGACTTATTAAAATTTAAACAAAAAAAAAATTAAACAAAATCGGACAACTTTTATTTTTATGTAGTTATAATAGTTTTAGTTTTATTAATTTAATACAATAAATGCCAAAAAATTATCTTAATCTTAAAGCTAAAAAAACGATAACTTTTATTCCATGAAAATCCCTATTTATAATAAAAAAACATTATTTTTTATTTCAAATTTGTTTGCCACATTTGTAAGTATATTCGAGCATCCGAAAAATTGAAGCAATAAATTGTTTTTCCTTCGACGACGGCCAGAAGACATAAAAACGACGCCAATTACGCTCATTTTCCACTTAGAATAAGCTTTAAAACGTTTTTATGTTATGTAGGGACTATCGTGCGCGCTTATGTACGTTACGTCCTTTCTTTCTAAGTGCTCCTATATGTAGAAATACAAACTTTTATTTACGTTTTATTAATGTTGCTCGGGTCTGCACTGGAGATAAGAAGATTGGCATGCGGCAGTTTTTGGTTTTATACCAATATAAATTTCTAATTCGATCGCGACTTTGAAATTGTGTAAGGGGTTTTCTGGAATAAAGGTGTTTATGTATTAATAACATTCTGGTTAAAAAATTTAATTGGCTATTTAAATTTTTAGTGTTTTTTATGTGTGCTGAATATTTATATTTAAATTTAATTTGAGACCTATATTTCTTTATGGAAAGATATTTAAAACATCAAACATTGTATTATTATCCCTACATCTAGCACCCTAAGTTCTAAAAATGTTCATTGGAAACGTTACCAAATTCATACGACAAAGAAAAACACTATAAAGTCGGTAAAAAAGATTCACCAAATACCAATAACCTTTAAACCCTAAATTACAATCGCCAATACATATGTGGATTGACACCCCAGAGCAATTTAGAATCAATGTATAATATGAGGAAAGCTACTTGATATAATATTATTATGGGGACATATTACCTATGTGGGAAGGTACTTGGACGGACGTACCCATAAGATCACATTTGGTACATTTTTAGAACAATCTTCAAATGCTGGTGTTTGTCAATCCTCACAAATGTAACAACGGGTTAAGGGTATATTTTTACCCCTAAGCCCCTTCGTATACCATTGCGACAAATTTTATTTTATTGTTATGGTTATTATTAACAATTTTACAAATTAAATTAAATGCATTTCGCAATCATAAAGTTGTTTTTTTACTTGCGTATTATAATAAGAAATATTTTTACCACTCATAACACAGTTCAACTCGATTTTCCTCCCATAAAAAATTTTAACATTTTAAAAAATAAAGGTTATAAATAAAAACATACACGTGTCTCACCGTTTCACGAAATCACATCATTTAAATTTTTTATAATAATAATAATAATAAATTTATTAATCCTTTTGACTACAAAACAGAGTATAGGAGCCATTCTTATTATTTTAACCTATACAGATTTTAAATTTTCTATTTTGTTATAAATCATTATTTTTCTTCAAATATTATATGTTTTTAAATAATAGAAAATTATACATAATGAAAACATATTATACATAATGAAAACAAAAAAAATATTTCTGGTTGTATTTTTTATTTTTTTTTAAATAAAACAATAGATTTGTATTTACATTAAATATATGTTGGAAACAAATCTTGATCTTTTAGTTTGACGATTAGTGGTATAGTGGTATCGTTTATAATCCATTTAAGTCTACTTTTTAAAAATATTTTCAACACAATTCCACTTCCGGTTTGACCGGAAGTTATATCAACTTTGTTATTTCAAACAAAACACCCCATATATTTTTACATTTTTAAATTCTACATAAAATTCTGAGTTAAATTACGGTACCATGTCCTATACCTAAAGTGAATAGTTTTCGAGTTATTAATTTTGTTCGATAAAATTTGACAAATGTTCGTCAATCAAAAATAGCCTATAACTTGTTTGTTATTAGGGTTACGGATATGGGGGTAAAATTTTTAAAATCCTAAAACATTGTTTAAAAGATTCCATGTCAATTCTTTAACATTTTTTAACAAATTACCTGAGAAATCCCAGGGCAAATTGCTTATAACAACCTGATAAATTGACGCCATTAAATTTTGAACGATGACAGATTACGTGGTAACCACAGATACCGTCAACTCACCCATCACAGGTTTCTTGATACATTAACTATCTTTAAAATTATTAACTTTTAAGTTAATAATTTCAGAGATATTTAATGTATGATGATCACATACGGCAGTCTTGTTTGGTGGAATGCGTTAAGCAAGCCCACCTATAGAAAGAAGATGGACAAGCTCCAACGATTTGCCTGCATGGGCATAATTGGAGCATTTAGAACCACTCCAACATTGGCAATGGAGGCCATACTGGGACTGGCGCCTCTACATCTCTTTGTGGAGGCACGGGCTCGGGAGGCCTTGGTCACATTCAATGATTGGGGACAGTCGACTCACGGGGGGGAAACTCAGGGCATGCAAGGGCCTGGACTGAGACTATCAACCGGGACCCCCTTCTCACAAGAAGGGATGCAATGCCAAAGACGTCTACCCCCCTCAGGAGATATAAAGTTGTTTTCCCCCCCAGAAACGACTGGAGCAAACCTGACCCCGGCTTTCTCAAACCGGAAGGGCTCATCTGGTACACAGACGGGTCTTTAATGAAGGAAGGTGCAGGAGCTGGTGTGTATGGAGAGCGACCTGGGGCGAGAATAAATCTTTGCCATCCAGATATGCGCCCAAGAGAATCTCCAGAGAGGCTACTCGGGTAAACATATCTACATATGCAGCGACAGTCAAGCAGCACTCCGGGCTCTTCACTCGGAAAAGGTCAACTCGAGACTTACACTGGACTGTATAAAAACCCTTGAACTACTCAGTGTGCTCAACAAGGTTAACCTTATCTGGGTACCGGGTCATCGAAGCATCAGAGGCAACGAGGAAGCAGACCAGCTGGCTCGTGAGGGCAGCAACACGGCCTTCTTGGGGCCAGAACCTGTCATAGGGGTCGCCTCCTGTCTGGTAAAAACCAAGTTTATAAAGAGTCCTACTACATGCAAAGAGGCAAAAAGATTCCTGAAACTTAACAGGAACCAGTTAAGAACCATCACAGGAGTCCTAACAGGACACTGGGTAGTCAAATACCACCTACACAAAACTGGACTAGCAACGAGTCGGACTGTAGGTACTGCAGCGAAGTAGACGAAACTACCGAGCATATAGTCTGCGAATGCGACGCTCTAGTCAATAGTAGACTAAGACACCTAGGGGACAGATACTTGGAACCAGAGGAAATAATGCATGCCCGACCAGAGCGCTTTTCTTAAAAGCTGCGGGCTCGTAAGGTAAGGCAGGGCTTCACCAAAAGGGGGTTTGCAAAATGGGCCGTATGTGTGCCTAAGTGCTGCCTGCAAAGGCTCCCCTTCAAATCAATCAATCAAATGTATCAAGAAACCTGTGACGGGTGAGTTGACGGTATCTGTGGTTACCACGTAATCTGTCATCGTATACCTTAAAAGGTATAAGGAATATTTACATCAATAGAATTTTTTTTTAATTTTCTATTTGATTATGTAAAAACATACCCTATGCCCTAGGTTTTATTGGGCAATTTGTTAAAAAATGTTAAAGAATTGACATGGCATTTTTACGCAATGTTTTTAGGATTCCAAAAATTCCACCCACATTTCCGCAAAACCTAATAGCAAAAAAGTTGTAGGTTATTTTTGATTGACGCGCATTTGTCAAATTTTAACGAAAAAAAATAATAATTCGAAAACCATTCACTGTAGGTATAGGACATGGTACAGTAATTTTAGTCCGAATTTTATGTAAAATTTAAAAATGTAAAAATATATGGGGTGTTCTATTTAAAATAACAGATTTTATGTCACTTCCGGTGAAACCGGAAGTTGCATTTAGGCAAAATAGATTTAATTGGATTATAAACGCTTTAAAAATTTCAAATCGAAATCTTTTGCCATTCCTCAGAAACTTTCAATGGACCACGAACGTGAAACACCGCGATTTCGTAAATGTGCAACACCCTTTATATAATTAAAATAATTTTAAAATAAATAAATAATTTTATTGGTTGTATATTTTTTCAGTGAATAAATTTTTCTTAAAATATACAGTCTAGCTGTTATAAAAGCTGTTATAACATTTATAACATTTTATTGGATTCCACTTAAAAAACGCCGAGACACGTAATTTTTTTAAGTCTATTTTTAAAATCTATAGGAATTTTTCATGGGAGGGAAAAACAATCAAATTTTGTAGTACTGTTGAATAATATAAATTTAGAACAAAATATTTTAATTTATTTTTTTAACTAACGCATTTGCTGCCATTTAAGTTCTTGATGTAGAATAAAACGATAATTATAACTAATTAATTAAATTAAGGTATATTTGGGATTCCCTTTTTGTTACTCCACCCTTTCAAAAAGTTTAATCCATTAACATAAAAATATACAAAAAACGAAAATTGGCAAATTTTATTGTATACATGAAATAAAATGTTAGCTTAGGTATAATAAACATATACATAAGTAATTAAAACATTTGTTCAAGTACAATTTTTTATGGTAAATGTATCCTTAATAAAAGTTCTAAAAAACTTAACAATTACATTTAAACTAATACCTGAATAATCATATTTAACTTTCTAAAGTACAAAAAACTTCAGCCCAAATTACGCTCAATTTGAATAAATGTTTATTCAAATCTTTCACCTACCTTTCTTTTTTGGCATTATTGTTGGAAGATGTGTTGTCGTCTTTACAGTCGTCGGCGCCGGTATTTCTGAAATTACATTAACATAACAAAAATAAATACTTACAGGGTTCTTTAAATAAATAAATTAAGAAAAGACAGTATTGTTAACGAATTTGTGTTAAAAAAACAAACTAAAAAACCTAATTATGTTAAAATCTTAATAAATTACCATCAAGTTTTATGACGCCATCTGTTTCGCCTAATGAATTTTTAGCGACACATTTGTAAGAGCCAAAATCTGATTTGTTGACTCTTCTAATTTTCAGCATCATATATTTTTTATAACCATTATCCATAGAAACTGCTTCATATTTATCACCTAAAACAAAAGAAGGGGTTACAATTAAAACGGTAAAAGTAACATTTATATTTTAGAATTAAGTCTATACATTTTTTGCAGGTATACCCTCTAATGTAACCTGCATGTAAATAAAAATGTTTACGTAAACCACCAAAATTTAATATGACTATATAAATGCATATTTTAACGTTGGCGCTTGTTGTAACCATTTTTCTATTTTTTTTTGGCATTTTTTGCTTGTTAGTGCCTAATTGATTGAATCCGTGCATATTATGCTCCCTATTTTAATGTTTTCTTAATGAATACTCCTTACGGCCTTATATTATATAATATTATAAAAGTAAAAATGTTTTTGTGCATATACTTTATCATGTATGGACTTATTTATGCATAACTGAAACGATAACATTTGGATCAAGAAAATACTGTTTTGTCACAACAATGCACCAATAATAAAATTTTAATCTTTAATAAAAATAAAAAAAATAAAAACCAAGGCGTATTTTGTGGAGTAGGTTAAGAAGTATTATTTGAAAGGTTTAATTTTATTGGAAGTATAGTTGTAAGGCCCTAAAAGAAATCTAGTTATGAGGTTATTTATGTTAAAAGATGAATGCAATTATTACTTTTTTATATATTTGGATATTATTTTTAGAGAAAAAAATCAATATTCGTAAGTAATATCATAAGGGCATTTAATTTTTCCGAAAAGAATCGAAAAAACACGTTGCTAAGTAATATTTTAACAAAAAGCATGAGTGCTGGTGGCAACAAAAATCGAGTCAAAGACGAGTATTTTTGCACCTGCACGAATGCATTTTGTTAAAAAATATTACTTAGCATTGTGTTTTTTCGATTTTTTTCACAGGAAAGGACTATTTCATGAGTAACAGTTAACAATTAAAATATAAATTGCAATTTTTGGTGACAACAGCTGTCAAGTTTTGCCGCCGGTAAACTCGAATAAACTGCTGACAGGTGCTGTCACACAGTTTTTTCACCAAGAAACCATTTGTAATTCAAAATTAGCGCGTTTGTGATTGGTGGAAATTAAGACGAGGGAAATAGTCAATAGAAAACTGTCACTTATATTTGGATTTTGATAACAGCTATTGGTTATAGCCTCTGGTTTTACTTGAGCTTTTGGAGGAAGATGAGAATTGTTTTACTGAAAAAAATCACACTCATATAGACGTAGGTAGTGCTTTTTTCACCTGAAACTGCAAACGACTATAAACGGCATATTGATGTAGATTCTGGTAAACATCTGAATTATCCACCAGGAAATCAGCCACGAGCACCTATCGAAATAATGGACTTAAATTAAATGAATAAAATCTCTGATCCTGAAGAATATGTACTTCTTTTAGTACCTACTTTAAGAATAAAAAACGTTTTAAATCGCAGAGTAAGTAAAAGAGAAAGTGTAACACCAGCAAAATCGTTTCTATAGAAGAATATTTTTTTCCCCCAGTCAAACCTTAGAAAACTTCTCCTCTGAATATATTTAACTTTTTTTATAAACATATTTTATGCCATAATACCAACAATTACTGTAGGCAAAATAACTATCCTGTAAATATAACAGTTGCAAAATACATTGTTTCACTGGATTTTGATAGACATAACAAATATGTCTAGTTAGGACGCATGTATAGCATGTGTATACACATTTATTTACGTTTATGTACAGTATAAATTTGCTGAAATTTAAAATGTTCAAAATTTTTTTTCGAGATGTGCTCTGGTTTGGGCTAAATATAACAAAATAAGTAAGTTTATTAATTTCGTTTTATTTTAAATCACATATTTTTTTTTCACTAATTAGATATTAATATCTTATTTATAGTGCCTTTAATTAAATAATAATTTTGTTTATCTACTAATAAAAAAGTAATAAGAGGAATTGCTAATTTTAAAAACAATTTATTTTCATTGTATTTATAATAAGAAAATAAAAAAATGAATGTGAAACAGAGCAGATGAGATACATTACTGTTTGCTTTCATTAGCAATGGCCATTTTCTGCGCCGTAAATATTAACGGGGATTTCTCTGATGAATGATCCTTAAATGGAGATGGATCGCCCGTTTAAATTATGATATACAGGGACGTCGAAGTCTTCTTAATAACGAAACTAGGTGGTAGTTTAGTCCGCACTTACAAGTAAACGTATATGGCAAATTAAACAAAGCAATTAATTGGAGTATGTTTTTGTTATTAATTGGGTGCTAGTGAAATATGACCCTTACATTGTACGGTCCATTAAAATCACTTTTTATTGGTATTTAGCTTATAGAAAAGTAAGCAATATAAAAATGTTGTTATCTTAAATGATTTTACACAAGTATATCCTTATATAACTTTATTAGTATTAAAAAAAAGTTTCACAGAAAATATATTATGTGAAGTTTACTCTAAAATTGACGTTGTTTAGCTATACCTTACAAAATTACATTTACGTATTTTTAAAATAAAACTAGTCAAAAATTCCAATCAGTATACTGTAATGTTTGTTGTATACGACCGTATTTCTTGTACCCGTTAGACGTATATCTGTTCGCTCCACAAACGATATAAAAATTTAACCATAGTGACTATAAATAGTGCATTGTAAATCCAGAATACCTAAAAGGTAATTATTCTATAAGGTTTCGGACAACAGTGTATAGCAAAGTACATAGTGTCACCACTGCCATCCACCTAAAAAGGTGGTTCAAGGTGGCGGTAACTTGTAAGAGATCAATCACGAGGAAACAAGGCGATATACGGATAAGTATTTTAATAATATTTACATGACGCTATTATATATATATATATATATATATATATATATATATATATATATATATATATATATATATATATATATATATATAATCTGCACAAGCTGAGATCCGTTTATGATATTTTTCGTTCAAGATGAGATCCGTTTGGAAAGTCGGGATCCGAATTCGGATCTCATCTTGCATCGTGTGTATATTTTTGTCAGAGTGATCAGTGGTGTTAAATATGATTGTTTAGCAATTTTTGTCTGGATCTCATTTTTCACATTTTTTTCCTTTCTTATATAAATTTACCTTAAGCGTTTCATGCAAGGTGGCGCTCCAAAACATTTTGCAGCAATGATAAATAAAGCATAAGCTGAGATCCTATCAAAGTGGCAACGTTGTGCCGCAGATGCTATAAAATGGGCGAGTAAAGACTCGTTTATTTTTTTTTCTGTTAAACATCTCTAACTCTGTGCTTCGTTGTAAAAGGTAAGTGTTTAATTTAATATTGGATTAGCATAACTTCTAAATTGTAAATATTTTTTATTTTTGAAAGTGAATTTAATTTAATAATAAATAATAATACATATGCTTAAATAAAATAAGTTTACAAGTTTATTAGTTTATTTGTATTTAGTAATATTTTTAAACCACAGTCCTTTTTTTAATCTTTAAAAATAACCTAATTGTAATTTAAAAATCCATTAATTATTAGGAAAAAGTTGTGTCAAAATAAGTAACAATAAGTAACATTTTATTTTAGATGTCGACTGTGACGAGTTTTTACGTGTTTTTTTATTTGTTTCTTCCTGCATTGGCCATTAATTATTTGCCGTGTACCGAGAATGTGGATCAACGACATATGGACCAAGCAAGGGAAATTATTCAAGATGCAACACCGGCAGGGTACATCTTGGGTGAGGTTGAAGCAATGACAACGACGGGAAGAAACCCCCATCGGTGGATTGCCACATTTACTCGAGATAACAACGAATATGAAACTGGTTGTCAGTAAATTTCTGCTGTGCAAAGAGAATTTAAAAGGAAATGTCCAAAAGGAGCTGAAATAAGATGTGTGCAAGTAAAAAGTAATCCAAATGAGCGAGGTATTAAAGTGGAATTTTTAGTAAATTGTTTCTGTACAAACATTCCAAGAAGACGAAGGCGATCCTTGTGGGCCCAATGTCATGCCAGAGGGTATACACGGGAACCTGCATTGTGTAATTTTTAAATTCAATTTTATATTTTTAACCAATTTTTAATGTACCCATTTTAATTTTTTTAAATTTGTTGTAATAATTGAATCGGTGAGAAAAAGAACAGTACATGTCCAAAAATATTATTTTGACAACTCATTTTCTAAAATCAATTTAAAAGTTTAAAATGCATTTTTGTGATAAGATATCAATCATTTTACAAAATATGATTATTATATTTTATAAAATAATTGAAATATTCCCACAAAAATATATTTTGAACTATAAAACGTATTTTATAAAATAATTTGTCAAAATTTTAGCTTTTGGACTTCTTCCGTTTTATAGTTCAACATATATTTTTGTGGGAATATTTCAATTATTTTATAAAATATAATAATCATATTTTGTAAAATGATTTATATTTTCCCACAAAAATGCATTTTAAACTTTTAAATTGATTTTAGAAAATGAGTTGTTAAAATAAAATTTTTCGACTTGTACTGTTCTTATTCTCACCGATTCAAATATTATAATAATTTGTAATAATTATTATCAACACTTCCATGTTTTGTAATATTTTTTACAACGAAGTTAATAAACATGTTTAACAGAAATTTTTGTTTTTTTTTATCGTAAATTAAACAAATTACAGTTACAATTTGTAGCAGTAAAATAAATAAATAAAAATATATTTTATTGTTTATTAAAAAATAATATTATTAAAAAACATTTTTATAAGATTCATACTTCCACATCGTCATGATACATGCAATAATATTAAAACCATTCCCCACCTCAAAATCTTAATAATATTCTCTTATCTAATTCAATTATAAGACTAATTTTTGTGTTATACTAACAAAGGCTGTTTGTAATTGTCTTAGAATAAATTCATCAATCAAGTTTTTCTGACACCCATGCATTATACTTACCAAACAAAACAATTTTTTTGTATAAATTTTAGGTTAAAAAAAATTCAAGAACAAATAGGTTTAAGCATATTTTATTAAAAAGAAATATTTATATAAAATAATATATTTATATAAAA